AGTTGTAGCTTTTTGGTCGATAGTTATATTCTTAATGAATAGAATGATTTGTTGTAATGATGTTTGTAGGATATCATGTCTGCATCTTGTACAGTAACCACTAGGAACAATGTATGCAGTGTGTTAATTAGTGAAACTGTCCTACCGATTTGATTTGAAACTGTCTCATTGCTATTTGTTTATCAATAAAATTATGGGGGAAAAAAAGAAACATATTGCACCTTGGAATAATAAACATCATAAAGCCACTATATGAGGCAAATTGTAAAGACATACTTTATTTACCTATAAAGTTAAGGAAATAAAATGTACATGTACATGGCTTCAAAAACTGGACATTTCTGGGTACTTAGGACTTTGAGACTGAGTCTTGTCTTAATGGGTCTAAAATCAAGACAGTTCATTACCTTTTCTCTATGCAATTCTATGTGCACAAAATTACAACTATCAATCCAAATCATAACTAGATGACTCCATAGTAGGGTGATGGGGAAGGACAATAAAAAGGAAGATTCTTCCTAAGTGACAGGTAAAGAGGAAAGGGAATGAGGTTACAGGATGTATGTAGTGTACTTAAAAAGATGGAGATAATTTCACTCACCAGAATCCCTCTTAGGAAAGCATTGTATTTTGGAAGGTTTTCCTGAGAATGGCATGAGAACTCCTTCTTAAGAACATGCTCACGTACAACAAAAGTTGCTTACTAGTGTTCAGATAAGGGGATTGTTAACTAAACAGCCTTTTTTGCTGGGCAGTGATAGATTTAAGGTAACTGAGCTAAGTACAGATAGTATGGGTAAATGAGTTGTGTACTGGAGAAGGAAAAAAAAAGGAGCTAAGGTGGCTGAATCCTGAAAGGGAAAGACAGAAAACCCTGCTTAGAAGAGACTTCTGAGAACAAATGTCTAACAGGACATACAACATGAATTCTTCTGCAATTTTTACACCTCTTCAGTGAAGGTCTTATTTATGAATGTTTCTGTGGGTAGATTCTTTAGACAGAGCTTGCAGAGGTACTGAGTTTTATATCAGGAACATGGAAATAAAATATGTGAACACAGAAAAACAGAAGTTGAAGAGGTGACATTTCAATGATACAAAGAGCCTGCTGCACACACATGCCATAGGTTCACCACCAGTGGTCTAGGCAGCTTGAGCTTGAGCAAAAACAAATGAGAAAGTATACTCCACTTGTAATCACCCTAATAGGAAAGGTAAGTCAAAGAGCTTCTCCTCTTGAGTCTGACACTTAGGAGGTAGAGGTACCTAGGATGCAGAAACTCCATGTAATCAGCTGTTCATTTACACAGCCAAACAGATGAAACTGGAGATAAACCCACTTTATGGATTTAGACCATGACCAGTTAAGTTCCCAAGGACTGGTTTTAAACTCACTATATTCAAATCTAGGTAGTAATTAGTCATAAAAAATGTGCAAAAGGTTTCAAAGAAGGAAGTAATGGATTAACCTACCTGCCACACCACATTGTGGTTAAGAGGATCCTGCCTCTCACAGGTACTGTGTGATAATCCTACCTCATTTTTAAGTTGGGGGAAAAAACTCCCATATCATTGATGGTTTCACAACTTTGTACATTACCTAAAATCTATTCAAATGAATGCTTTTAACAAGTAATTTTATGGTATGTCAATTATACTTCAATGAAGCTACTTTCTAAAATACACACAGCACAGAGATACTGTGAACATAAAAATGTAAACTATTAAGCACTGTGCCTGGCACATAGTAAATAATAAATATTAGTAGTCAGTATTAGTGTTAATAGACATTAAAGAACAGAAAAATGAGGATATGTTAAGTTTGACTTTGAAAAAAAAGAAGTAACTATTTGGCTGGTTGAAACCCCAGAAATCATTTAGTTCCACTCCTCTCATTTGACAAATAAAGTTATGGACCAGCAGTTGAAATGCCTTGTTCTAGGTCCAGCTCAGAACAGATCCCAGATCCCAGATCTGCTGAATACTCATCAGTGTAATTCCCACTACCATACATTCCCTGAAAATATGAAAAATAGATGTATTTCCTTAAAGAACAGATAATGTGTAGAAGAGAGCGAGACCAAGAGAATGTTGTAGAAAGAAAACCCAAGACCATCTAGCAAACCAAGAGGCTGTCACATCTGGACCCAGCAGCAAGGACTCTCACCCATAGGGTCCAGGTTATGAGACCTGAAGTGCTTTGGCAAGGTCATGCCCCACTTAGATGAACTGGCTCATCCCTCTGGCCAGATATGTAGCAGAAGTGAAACTGCAACAATTCTACTACCTCCTGAAACATCTGTACCTGGGACCAAAGTTAATAGACAATCCTTTGGCAGTCACACTGAGCAGCCTAAAGTGGATACAGCTACTCAGGAATCCCTTCTGTCATGCTAAGTAAACTGGCCTCAATTGTTTATACCCTGACTTACTGATCAGTCCCTCTGGATTCTAAGCCCTTCACTTACAATCTTGTACACTGCCTTGTCAGTGTACACGTGACAAGTTTCTTTCATGTGAAAATAACCATGCTTCTGTTTAATTAACCTTGCCATCTTTTTGTTGTCGTTTTTTTTTTTTTTTTTTGGTTTTTTTGGAGGAACCGGGAATTGAACTCCAGGCCCTTAGGCTTGCCAGGGAAGCACTTATTCCACTAAGCCATCTCCCCAGCCCTTACCTTGCCATCTTTTAAGGGGAAATAATAGCAGGGATGGAAGATTTTTGAAGTTTAATCATTCCAAGACTAAACAGTGGAGAGAAGAATAAAGTGTATCTTCTAGGTCATGACTTTCTAAGACTTCAGGGGATAATGTTAAATGAGTCAACTCTGTAATTCTTATAAGGTGGTAAATACTATTCTCCCACTCTTTATCAAGAGCAACAATTTAGGCTAGATGGCAGGTACAGACACCTAATGTTATGTGATTCACTCGGGAGAGAGGAAAGGGAAGAAGAGGAACAGAGAATTAAGGCCTGAAACAGCTTTTATGATTTAACTCAGTACACTGAAGTATCTCAATGGGTAGTTCGTAAGTGCCTCAACCTGTTAAACCAACTGTTGAAATAAAAATTAGTAGAACAGAGGAGGTTGTCCTTTTATCTGAGAACCTGAGGTGCAGGCTGTGAAAACATGAGTAAGTCTGACTTCAGCCTTTCCCCAAAGGCTTTCCTCTTTTGTGGGTCATTCCATACAGTGAACACTCTGATGGCGAAGGAGGTGAGAGCTCCGACTAAAGGTCTTTTGACACTCTTGGCATTCATAAGGCTTCTCACCAGTGTGAATTCTCTGATGTATGATAAGTTGGGAGTGCTGGCTGAATGTTTTGTCACACTCATTACATTCATAAGGTTTCTCTCCAATATGAATTTTCTGGTGAAGAAGCAGCTCAGAGTTATCCCAAAAGGTTCTTGCACACTCATTACACTGATGAGGCTTCTCTCCAGTATGGATTCTCTGGTGAACAATGAGGTGAGAAGTCCGCCTGAAAGCCTTCCCACACTCAAAACATTCATAGGGTTTTTCGCCAGTGTGAATTCTCTCATGTCTAAGAAGTTCTGAATTCCCCCTAAAGGCCTTTCCACATTCTTTACATACATAGGGCTTCTCACCAGTATGAATTCTAATATGTCTAATAATCTCTGAGTTTTGGCCAAAAGTTTTACCACACTCATTACATTCATATGGTTTGTCTCCTGTGTGAATTCTTTGATGTCGGATTAGCTCTGAACTCTGACCAAAGCCTTTCCCACATTCGTTACACAGATAGGGTTTTTCTCCTGTATGGATTTTCTGGTGTCTAATAAGGCCTGAACTATGTTTGAAGGCTTTGCCACACTCATTGCACTCATGATATCTTTCTTCAGTATGAATTCTCTGATGCTGAATAAGTTGTGAGCTAACCCTAAAGGTCTTCCCACATTCATTACATTCATAAGGCTTCTCTCCAGTGTGGATTCTCTGGTGTAAAATAAGGGCTGAATTCTGACTGAAAGCTTTGCCACATTCTTCACATTTATAGGGTCTCTCTCCCGTATGAATTCTATGATGGTGGATAAGATGGGAACTCTGGATGAAAGCCTTTCCACATTCATTACAAGCAAAGGGCTTCTCTCCAGCATGAATTCTTAGATGTCTTCGAAGGCTTGAGTTAGTTCCAAATGTCTTTCCACATTCTTTGCATTCAAAGGGTTTTTCTCCACTGTGAACTCTCATATGCTGGATGAGATGTGAGTTTTGATTAAAGGCTTTCCCACATTCTTTACATGTATGAGGCTTTTCTCCCACAGATATCCTTTGTGTTTTGTTAGGTTCTAAATTCTCTATAAATTTTTGGCCAGAAATAAATGTACTAACCCTCTGTGCTACAGCATCTCCCTGATGTGCCACCAGATTTGGGCTAGGGCTGTAACCTTTCTCACTCTCACTATTCTTCTGGTCTTTCTCACTTGAGGGTGACTTCTTAAAGATAATCAACCCTGAAGTAAAGTCCTTCTCCTGATGAGATTGCTTCATAATCTCTTCTGAGGACTCTCTCAAATGTCTCTCTAATGTGTCTTCACATGCTGCTCCAAACTCATGATCTTGGTAAACCACTTTTGGAAGTTTTTCTAATGTTGATCCATATGGCTGACATTCTTCAGAAATTTCTTCCTTGGGAATCATCTCCTTGTTCTCAGTCCCCATCTCACAATCTGAAATGAAACAGTAAATATATGGAACAGGTATATTATATTAAATAAAACTATTTTTTATTTTATTTATTGTATTTTTTTAGGGAAGGGTCTACGGGGTGTTCAGGGTCTCACTACTAGATCAGACTTATAGTCATAATCCCAAGAGCTGGGATTACAGGCTCATGCCACCACGCCCAGTCTCAATTGCCATCTCAGCATGCCCCTGGGGCAGGGCCAGCCCAGCAGGCCCAGGGATCAAACCCCAGCCCCTGCAGCTGCTTGCAGGCGCTTTAATCCACTGAGCTATTTGGCTGGCCTAATATATTAAATAAAACTAATGCAAGAGGAACACAGAGTTTTGGTATAGGACTAGTAACACTCAAAAACAACCTTGAGATCTATTGCATATGATGCTGGTAAAGACAGATTTATGATTATGTGGATAATCAAAGAGCATATACAGACTAAAAAAGAGAAAAATGATTGAAGGAAGAGATTTCAGGGCAGAAACAGAAAATGGAATGTAAAGAGATGCTGATAAAAGTCCCATAAAACAGTGAGTTAGAGTGAAAGCTAAGGTTGTTTTGTTTCTCTTTTTGAGACAGTTTCACTATGCAGTTTACACTGGCTTTGAACTTACAGCAATCCTCCTGCCTCAACCTCCAGAGTGCTGGATTTACAGGCATGGAACACCATGTCTGGCTTAAAGCTAAGGTTGGTAAAGAAAACATTTGAGGAAAATGGCAGCCATATTAATAGATGGATATATGGAAAAGGTTGAAAGGGGTGAATAGAAATCATATTTGGATTTATAGACAACCACAAAATGAGTGGCAAAAAGAACTATTTTTAGTCTAGTTATATGCTTCTCACCAGGCTATACCAGGATATAATATGAATATGAGTATTCCACAATTAAAATGTTTTTTAAAAAATTTTATATATTTATGTGTGTGTGTGTGTGTGTGTGGCCAGCTCAGTCCACCAGGGGGCGGGGCTGGCTGGCGTGTGGTGCTGGGGGATTGAACCACTGTCCCTGTGCTTTGCTAAGCTTGTTTTAAGTAGGTGCTTTAAACCACTGAGCCATCTCACCAGCCCCCACAATTAAAATGTTAATTTCACTTAGCACAGAAGTAAACATACTTAGTCCCCTTTATTTGGATGAATAAGAATCTAATTTTTCCAGATGGCTAGTGAATTATATCAATACCATTATTAAATAATTCATTTACCTACTGACTTAACATGCCATCTAAATAACATCACAGACTAAATATATATAATATTTCTGGATTCCATTCACTTTTGCTTATTTAGTTCTTCCTAATATTGAACTGTTCAACCTGTGGGGGATTGAACCGAGGTCCCTTTGCTTTGCTAAGCTCGTTTTAAGTAGGTGCTTTAGACCACTGAGCCATCTCACCAGGCCCTCCATAGCTCTTTAGAAAGTTTTAAAAAATTTGCTCTTTTAAAGCTTTATTAAAGTTTTTAATAAAAAATAAATAAAATAACCATAAAAATAAAGTTTTTAATATATATTAGAGAAAGGTATCTGTCACATGTTCTTTTTTATATATTTGTTTTGTTGTTGTTAGTTTTGTTTTTTGTTTTTGTGTTTCTGAGACAAGAGTCTCACTATGCAGTTCAGGCTAGCCTTGAGCTCACTTTGTAGCCCAGGCTGATCTTGAACTCATAATAATCCTTCTGTCTCATCCTCCTGAGTGCTGGGATTACAGGCATGCACAACCACACCTGGCTTATATTTATTTATTCTCATATTTTTCCAAATAAATTTTAGTGTAATTTTTTTCATGTATATATTTGGTACAGGGTCTCATTATGCAACTCAGACTCATAGTGATTCTCCTATTTTTTCAGCCCTCCCAGCACTGAGATTACAGGCATGCACCACTATGCCTGGGTGCCAGCTCAGTGTGCCCGGGGGCGGGGCTGGCACAGCATGTGGGACCAGGGATCGAACCCTGGTCCTTGAGCTTGCCAAACATGAGCTTAGTCTGCTGAGCTATCTTGATGGCCCTGTTAGTGTAATTCTGTAAAATTTTCAAATTGAGCCTGATTTTCCTTTAATATTCATTCAGTTGCTATCTTTTCATTTAGCCAGCATTATATTTTCTAACTGGTTATTTTTATATATAGCAATGCTGTTGATCCTTACATATTAATTTTGTAATCAGTCTTTTTATAGAATTTTCAATGAGTTTATACTGTTTTACTTTGCTATACTGCTGATTAAACTCAGAGCCTTTCCACAGAGCTATATCCCCAGTCTGTTTGTTTGTTTGACAGAATCTTGATGAGTTGCTAAATTGCCCAGGCTAAGCTGGAACTTGTGATCCTTCTGTCTCAGCCTCCAAAAGTGGTTAGACTACAAGTGTATATTGCCATATCCAGCTCTTTTATAGCTCTAAAGAGCAAATTTTTTTAAACTTTCTAAAGAGCTATGGAGGGGCTGGTGAGATGGCTCAGTGGTCTAAAGCACCTACTTAAAACGAGCTTAGCAAAGCAAAGGGACCTCGGTTCAATCCCCCAGCACCACATGCCAGCCAGGGCCGCCCCCTGGTGGGCTGAGCTGGCCACACACACACACACACACACACACACACACACACACAATAAATAAATAAATAAAAATTTAAAAAAAAATAAAGAGCTATGGAAAATATTTTGGTTGCCAACCCCAACATCTATGCTTCCCCATCTCCTCAGAATAATACTTTATTCTGAGGATGGCAATGAGCCTACCTCTTGAAATACATTTGTCACCTTTCTTTAAGTTAGGTTTGGTCATATGGCTAAAATCTGGTCAATGGACAGAGAGATGCAAATGAAAGCACACAGGAAATATTTTTAAAGTTGAAAATAAATATGTTTTTACTTTCTTCTTTCCTGCTATTCTTGGAGCAGAATGTGATGTTAACCACCATCTTTGGGGGCCGGGGAGAAGGCTCAGTAGAATAAGTGCTTGTCTGGCAAGCACAAGGGCCTGAGTTCAATCCCCAGTTCCACAAAAAAAAAAAAAACAAAAAACACCACCATCTTTGGCATGTTATAGCATGCCAAAAGACCTGGCATCAGAGATGGATGGGACCAAGGGCCCCCAGTGACTCTAGAGTTACCATGTCAGTCCTATCAATCCTGGAATTTCCAGGACTTTCCAAAGAGTCTTGGGATTCTTTTATCAAAAAAGAGAGGGGAGAGGAGAAGAGGGGAGGGAAAGGGAGAGAGGAGAGGTGATGAGAAGGAAGAGGGGTGAGAGAAAGATAAAAAGAGCACACTTTTTTTTTTCCTTTTTTCACACTTTTGTTTAAGCTATTGTGAGTTTTAAAAATTATCTTATCAAGTCAAACCTATTCCTAAATAATACAATTGTCATGGGAATTTAGCTAACCCTGTTACAGAAGCCAAGTCCAAGTTCTCCTAGTGTGTGGCCATGACAGTGCAGAAAATCAAAGATTATTATTTGGAGACAATGCTTAGTTCAATCACCAAGTAGACCACAAAGTCTATTCAAATGAAAGCACCCAGAGTTAGGGAGACTGCTAGGAATAACACTGAAGCTTAAGAACTCTCAGGTTTTTATTTAAAATATCAGTGTAAGAGAGAAATGCAGTTTGAGCAAGAAACTATCTCATGCTTAAGCAGTTTTCTTGGGAAAAAGGAAAAAGTGTGCTCAGCATCTCACTTAAAATTAAAATAATTAAGTGAACAACAGTCTAGGTTGTTTCTTGATATCTCTATATTATTTTTCATTTTTAAAATTAAAAAAATTGGTACTGAGGATCAAACTCAAGACCTTGTGCTTGTCAGACAGGTGCTTATGCTGTTGAACTATTTCTCTACTCCACCCCCCTTTTGGACCAGGATTGAAGTCAAGGTAGAAAAAGGAAGGACAACAGCGAGCCAGATGTAAACTTCTTATTGCTTAACCTTTCACTTCTCAAGGAGCCTGCATGTTTTTGCCCCACAGTTTAACCATTCATGCCTCAGTTAAGTCCCCCACCCCAATGATGGGGGAATAAGCCTGACTTTTGCTCAGGTACTAACTAACCTGGTAACCTCTACCTACCTCGTCTCTTCAGCTAAGGCTGGCAAGCATAAGGGACTGAATTCAATCCCTGGTTCCACCAAAATAAATAAATAAATAAATAAATAAATAAATAAAGTTACTCATTAAATTTAAAAAAATGCAGCTTAGAGATAAAGTAGAATAAGAAATAGAAAGTGTTTACTGGAACATCTAGAAGGCTATAGATGAAGTAAAAGCCAACTGGTAGAGACTTAACAATGAATTTAATGTTGTTGTTTTTCTTGGTTTTTAATTCACAGAAAAGACCAAAATGGACAGTAATGTAAGGGGCTACAAAGTCAAGGATTACCCTTCCTAGGAGATACTTGAACACGTTTATATTAGGTGAATGGTTTATATCTAGATGTTCCCCTAAAGCCTCATGTGCTCATAAGTGGGGCTTTTGGGAGGTAACTGGATCATGGAGCCATGATATTCACCAGTGGCATTAGCCCACTGAAGAGCTTACAGCTAAATGTGATGATGGGAGTAGAAGCCTGGTTGGAAAACATGGGTTACTTGGGGTGTAACCTGGAAGTGTCTACCTCTCTCCTGCATCCCTTAACTTCTTTCTGCTACTTGCCTGGCATGCCATGAACAATTCTCTGCCCTGCCACCCTGCCTTGGAGCCAGCCGACTATGAACTGAAACCTTTACAAATTGCGAGCCAAAATAAACCACTCATCCTTTAAATTGCAGGTGTCAGGTACTGTGTCTCAACTACAAAAAAGCAAAACAGAGAGAAAGTATTCATGGACACAGAGGTTAAGAGGAAAAAGAGATTACTGAAGAAATAAAGACTGAAAAAGGTGAGACTAGTGTCAAGTGATGGGGAAAGAGAAAGTAGTGATTTTTTTTTTACACAATTTTTTTTTTTTTTTAATGTGTGTGTGTGTGTGTGTGTGTGTGGCCAGCTCAGCCCATCAGGGGG